ATTTAATTTTTCCTTTTGTACATAACATTTCGCTGCTTTAGCCTATTTCTAATATTGTCAGGAATGTTTAATAACCAGTGTTTCAGTCTTAAACCATATTAATGAAATTAGCTCTACGTCCTTTGATGTTTAGTTTTGTCATTATTTCATTTTATTTGTACAAGCAATTTCAAGTGATTGCGTATTGCATATATTGTATATATACTATTTTTAAACGCTATCGATAGGTGCTACTTAGTAACCCATAGTACGGAGGGTGGATGTCTGAATTGCGACAATTTCAATATACGCACGAAAGTTAAACTTTTATCTCACCTCAAATGGCAATCTTCCCGCAATTCTTATACATGTGTGTGGCGTTAAGATAATTATTTATAATGACAACTCTTCTAGTTTATCAGTTTGTTTTATGTCTATACCGTTGTTCACTGCATTTTGCCCCCCCCCCCGTGGCACAGCAGTATGTCTGCGGACTTATAACACTAGAATCCGAGTTTCGATACCCGTGGTGGGCAGAGCACAGATAGCCCATTGTGTAGCTTTGTGCTTAATTCCAAATAAACAAACAAACAAATACTGCATTTTGATACATTTTCAACAGTCTCATTGATATTTAATAACATATTTTATCTGACCTATAGCCAAAACTTGTGGCTTTGGACGATCAGGTTATTGAACGCTAGAAGAACAATATACGTCGTGTTGTATCATTGTAAAAGTCTTGTGTTTATTTAGAAGGATGTTTAAATTTGCTGAAACGATGAAAATAGGTTTATCGAAATCGGTTTAGCTACACTGAGTAACGTTCTTATGTCTCAACAAATACAAATTTAAATTATGATACAGAAAATTACAATATTTGGTTTTCGATATTAAATAACGCTTTTGTAATCTCACGTTTCCCACCGCTTCTTGTTTGAGGGAGGGGAGCATTAATAAACGAAATAAACCATTCACGTATAGTAATATAAATTAAACCTCAGTCAAACAATAGAAAATAAAACTTGAAACACGGCGTTTGAACGGTAGTTTTTTGTTGTTTTTGATTTGAAGCGGTGTTTTGAATGTAACATGACTAAATTTAGTGTTCGGATTTTTAAAGTAGCCCCTTGATTATTGTACTGGGCGTAGTCGAGTAATTAGCAAGACCAGACTAAGAATTCAGGTTCGCGACCCATTACCAACACGATTTGCACTTTGGAGTTCTGAGTGAGTGACGATCATATTCAACTATCAGGCAACAGTTAGCGATGGGTGCTGTTGACTAGCTGCTTTCACGCTAATCTGTCAGATTATGGATGACTTCACGTAGTTTGGTCTAATGTATTTTCTGGCGCGAAATTCTTAAGCAAATCTTTATCAAAGAAAAACATTAACTCTTAATTAAGGTTTCTCATAAAACTATTTTCTTAACCATAAAAGAAAAGTTACTGCATTTTATTACCAAGAAATCGAAATTTCTTCGCTTTGGGTGAAAACAATTTAGTCTTTTTTTACAAAAAAAACTGATATAAAATGCTTTAGGTGTATACTACTAATATCGTCAAGCGTTTTTAATAATCCAAGTTTCAGACTTAAACATTTCGTGAATATATTTGCATGTCCTCTGACTTGTGATATCGAGGAACCCACTTACAGAAATGTATAGCAGAGACGGCTGATTTGATTATTTAAAAACAATACAAGTAACAACCTTTTATTCCTTCTCAGGTTCATCATCAGATTAATATTATTAGGTTTATAATATTTGTTATCCCTGCATCTGCTATATCTTATAGTGGAGGAATTAAACAGTTGCATAGTTGGCCATTAGCGCCATGCCGACTGCTGATGTGAACCACGATATTTTACGCTATAAGCCATTATGCTTTCCGCAGAGCCAAAAAGAGGGACATTTCGAAAGTCCATAATGTAAATCAAAATACTAATTTCGCATTTAAAAATCTTTAACTTCTTCTTCCAATACGAGATTCAAGGCAAGAGTAATGTATGAGAACTCGGGATTTCAATGTATTCAATGTATCAGCGTGTTGTAACTTACGAGATGA